AGGGCAGTAGGGAAGGGCTAGGCTAGGACCACCCCAGGAGAGCTGGTCGTCTGGAGTACGTTTGAGGAAGACTTTTTCCCAAAACCTGGGACCTGTGGCGGAGAGCAGGTATTCCCCTGGCTCAGGACCACAGCAGACTCAGCCTCCAGCGACGTTCTGTGTTCCTGATACATTCCTGCGTTCCTGGAGTGGGATGATAAGGCCTCAGTTTACCCTTAATTGACCTTCCATTGCCCTAGGACACCCTTGTTAAGAGTCGGGCTTTCCCACTGAGCTGCTCAACGGAGATAAATCAGGGTGGGTCTTTAAGTAGGTGCCTAGAATGTCTGGTGTAGCTAGTAAGAGAAAGCCTTCAGAAATCTGGAAAATGCTGTGTTCATTTCCTTGCAGGCCTCTGGTGCTGACCAAGCCCTTTTATATCTCTGACTCTACAAGCTATGAGGAAAGCAAGGTAGGGAATGTTACCCTTTAGAACAGAAGGAAGCTCATCTCCACCTGGAGGCTAGAAATCCTACTCCTAGGTCCCCAGAAAGGGCTTGTGGTCGCCCCACAGTTAAGAGTTGTCCAGCATTATCAGCTTGAAACATCAAACAGCTTGGTCCTTGTCCTGGCATGCAATAGACCTCACTCTAACCGGGAGCTGACTGACTGCTGCACCTGCCTTAACCCCTGGATGTCTCAAGGCTCCAGCTATGGAGAACCTGGGCCCTGAGGCAGATCACCAGCTATCCACGCTGGGCCTCAGTTTCCTGATAGTACCACTCAAACCTACACTCTCTCTGAGCCCTCATTCCCAAATAGACATTGGGCCCTGCCCTCGGGGGGGCTTCTGACCAAAATCTTCCTGTGTTTACTGTCAAAGGAAAGGTGTCAAAGGCATTACTGAGACCTTCAGAGAAAAGTGAGCAAGGTCTCAGGAAAGGGACAGTCTGCACGCATTCAGTAGTGTGAAGGCAAACACCCTGGCTTTTACATTTGTTTTCACCTGTAAACAAGTCTTAATGCCAGCCACGCACAGCAGGAGGGGGAAGGTGGATCCTGCTGCAGCCCTTGCTCTGGCTTTTGGCAGGAGCTTTAGGAGAGTGTTCATTATTTCTTGCCCACTACCAACTCTTTCGATACTCTTCCCAGTGGCAGAGTTTAGCTATATAATTTGCAAGGCCCCTTGTTCAACTATCATATCATCATCTTATGATGGACCTAGGTAAGCTGCTACCACCACCACGCCTGACTGCAAAGGATCACCCCTCTCAGGGCTCTCAGGGCTGGAGAGATGGCTCAACGGTTAAGAGCATTGCTCTTCCAGAGGACCCGGGTTCATGGCAACTTCCAGCTCTCTGTAACACTAGTTCGAGGGGATCCAACAGCCCTCACACAAATATACATGCAGGCAAAACACCAATGCACATAAATCATTAAAGTTGTATTATTTAAAAATTTTTTTAAAATCATCGCTTTCCATGAACTTGTAGCAGTGGCAGGGTGCTTGCTTCCCTTGCCTGAGGCCCTGGGCTCATCACTGCTCAGTAGGAAGAGAAAGGAAAAGGACTTCAGGAGACAAGGGTGCTGGTAGCTCAGAGCCCTGTCTCCAGCCCCAGCTCTCTCTCGAGATCCGTATAGTCCAGTTGTGCTAGTGCCATCTGTAACCCCAGCTCTCAGGAGATGGAAGCAGGAAGGTCAGTTCAAGATCATCCTGGGCTACAGAGGGAATCTGAGGCCAGCCTGGATTTTATGAGAACCTTGGTGGGTGGGCAACACCAAAAGGTTCTATCTAGCTCAGAACCTTTCTGAGTTCAAGGCCATTATGTGACTCCATAAATCCCCAGGAAGGCTCCTCTCAAGACAGAATCCCCTGGAATTAACCCACAGAGCAGAGCCTCTAGTTCAGAAAGGAAGGAAAGAATATAGAAAAGTCAGGATTATATCCCATTCCCTCCTCCTCGTTCCGGCTTCCCCAGGCTCAGAGAAGCGGCCCAGCTTGCCCTTGTTCTCTGTCCTACTACTTAGATACACTTCTGGGACACCCAGCCTGGGAAGGGCCAACCTGGGCCCCAGCTGTGGCTGAGTGCTCCTCTGGATTCATGATTGCCCGGCTGAGCTCCCTTACTTCCGTGGCAGGACCTGGAAGAGACTTCCTAGCAGTCCCTGTAACCCACGCACAAAGTCCAACCTGGAGCCAGCCTGTCACCTGACCCAGCAGGAAGTTGCCAACCTGTCCCTGGAGAGGAACTAGCAATAACCAGACTTAGGGCCGCAGCCCAAAGGCCCTCTAACTTTGCTCTAATGTTTTTGGAAAGCTTAGGACTAGCTCTACCGCCCACAGGCACCTGCTTTGTCTCTGTCTGGCCCCGACTTCTCCCAGTACAGACTCCTCTCGGCCAGGCAGAGGTGTGAAATGCCCCTCATTTCAGTTGGATCCTAGAAAGGGGTTGGGAGCTCCGGTGCCTACCCCCTCCCTTGTCGGCTTTTGGACCAATTGGAAGGGCTAGAATCTTAGCGAAGGGCGGAACAATCCTGCTAAATTGCAGGCCCCCAGTAAACCCTTGGAAGAGAAACACACACACACACACACACACACACACACCTGCAGAAGCCAAACCACCCCCTACCTACCAACATGCCCTCGCCCTTGCCCTCTAAGTGCCCCCCACCCTACCCCATCTAGCAGCTTTGTTAACATTTCAAACAACCTCCGCTCTGAGAACTTCTTTGATCTTCCCTGCAGAGCCCCAGACTAATTCCACCCATTCAGCCTCTCCCCACCCTTTCTGGGCTGAGAGGTGAAGTAACTGCCCAGGGTCATGGGTAGTGGCCCAGTGCAGGTGTGCCCAGCTCCCAGTTGATGCCAGCTTGCTAGAAGCTGAAGGAAAGAAGGAATGAGAAGATTTAAGAGCAGAGAGACGAGGTCACTGCCACCACCCAGCAGCCTCCCCTGTGGAATGGGTGGTGGTTCCCTTCATTGTCTCAGTAGATAGCTTGACCACCTGTTCTGGGTTCCAAGCATCCAGAAATGGGCCACAGTCACTGGTTGTTATTCGCTTATTAAAAGTAATGATTAATTTCCTGTGTATGGTATGTTTTGTCTGCATGTATGTATGGGTATCACGTGTGTGCCTGGTACCCATGGGGGCCAGAAGAGGGTGTTGGATCCCCTGGAACTGGAGTTACAGATGGTCATGAGTCACCATGTAGGTGCTGGGAACCAAATTAACCTGGATCCTCAGGGAGAGCAGCCAGTTCTCTTAACCTCCAAGCCCTCTCTCCAGCCCCTATTAATCGCTTGTAACAGAGGGCAGTAATTGGCCTGGCGGCTGTATTGTCAGCAGCTGTAATCCAGCTACCCAGGACGTTCAAGTCTAAGGCAGCACTGAGAACCCTGTCTCAAAAAGAGGTGCTGGAGATGAGGAATACAACTCCTCAGTGGTAGAGCGCAGGCCTTGCATGGCCTTGAGTTCAATTCCCGGTCCATACTGATTCTTTTTCAGTGACGCCACATATTTCCTCTTTCAGGGTCCATTATTGCTACACCCTCCCCAGTCAAATGAACAAAACTCTTTGTGTTGCTGAAGAGGAGGATCACCTATGCTCCTGACTCAACTTGACTTCCTGATCCGTCTCCACCTCCCAAACGCTAGGATTACAAGTGTCTGCCACCACTCCTGGCTTACGCTGCACTGAAGAGGAAGCAACTTGGCCCTCAAAAGTACTCATCAACCGAGCTGTACACCCAGGCCTTGTGGGGTTTCCAAGAATTATTTTTATTTCTATGTATATCTCTATGGGAATACGTGCACACCTCAGAGAGGGTGTTGGATGCCCTGAAGCTAGAGTTCTGTGTGGGTCGTGACCTGTCCCTTGAGAGTTCTGGAAGTCAGACTCAGATACTCTACCAGAGAGCAAGCACACTTAACTGCTGAGCCGTCTTTCCAGCCCTTTCAACCCTTGTGGGGTTTTTGTTTTGTTTTGTTGATTTTTTTTTTTTTTGCCAGAGTTTCATATTGTAGCTCAGGCTGGCCTAGAACTTACTTTATATTCAGGGCTAGCCTCAATCCTTCCACTTCAGCTTCCTGAGTACTGAAACCATAGGTATGGCTCATCATTCCTGGCTTCCTTTTTATTTTTAGTTATTTGTTATTTGTTTTTATTTTTTGTTTTGCTTCGTTTTTCAAGACAGGGTTTCTCTGAAGCTTTGGATCCTGTCCTGGGACTCACTCTATAGACCAGGCTGGCCTCAAACTCATAGAAATCTACCTGTCTCTGCCTCCTGAGTGCTGGGTTAAAGGCATGCCCCATCACCACCAGGCACATTTTTTATTTTTATCAATTGTTTTTTTATTGTGTCTAGGGGTATGTGTGTGTGCAGGAGTGTGTGTATGTGTGGTCGAATATAATTTTCTGAAGTTGGTTCTTTCCTTTCATGACGTGGGTTCAAGGAATGGAACCTGTCAGCCTGGTGACAAATGCCTTTACCTGCTGAGCCACCTTGCCCAGCCCTTGTGTTTCTGTAGAAGGAGTCTCCCTGTGTAGCCCAGGTTATCTTCAAACTCATGGTCTACCTGCCTCCACACTCAGCCCATCCCCACGTTCTAACAGATAAAATAGGTAAAAAAGCAATGCTCTGTATGAATCGATTTTATTTTATAAATCAAAACTTTCAGGCTCTGAGAGTAAAGAGCCTTTTGTACAAGGATAAGGACCTGAGCTAGAATCCCCAGAACCCATGTCAAGTTGGACACAGTATAGGGCATCTGCAGTATACAGGAAGTGTGGGGATAGAGACAGGAGAGCCCACAGAAACTCTTGGGCCAGACAGCCTGGGCAAAGATGCATGGACGAAGAAGAGACCTTGCCTCAAACAAGGTTAAGAAGCAAGGATAACATGTGAGACTGTCCTCTGACCTCCACAAAGTGCACACACACACTTTTTAAAAAAGATTTATTTATTCATATATTTTATGTTTATGAGTGATCTGTCTTCGTGCACACCAGAAGAAGAAATCTGATCCCATTACAAATGTTTGTGAGCCACCATGTGGTTGCTGGGAATTGAACTCAGGACCTCTGGAAGAGCAGCCAAGTGCTCTTAACAACTGAGCCATCTCTGTAGCCCCTGAGCCATCCCTTCAGTCCCTGAGCCATTTCTCCAGCCCCACATACATACTTTTAAAAAATCAAAACTTTATAGCCTTGGCTGGGTATGATAACACACGTGTGTATCCCCAGCCCCTGGGAGATAAAGGCAAGGAGGATCAGAAGTCCAAGGCCAGCTGAGTACCTTCTACCCTGTCAGGAAAAGTAAAAAGAAAAGAAAGCCCACGTTGTAATATTAACTTGCCATAAAGTGAATCAGGAAGAGCAGCGATGACATTTTGATGGCCTCACACTGTGAAACGCTGAGTTATAGGTGGTGGTTATGGTTTTAAATGAGTGTCGGTATTTCATTTATTTCTGCTACAGTTGTGTTAGCCAGTAATTAGAAAATGCTGAGTCTCAGAGACAAGCAGGGACAAATGGGGAGAGCTTTTTAACAACTTGGTAGAAATGTCGTCTTTCTTCTGAGTTCTGCCTAGGATCCCATCACCTAATCAACCAAGCTTAAAGCTATGTGAGGTGGGATAGCTGGAGCCCAGCCTGATCTACGTAGTGAAACCCTGTCTCAAGAAAAACAAGAAGGACTTGGAGGTGGTGATGCACATCTTTTATTCCAGCACTCAGGAGGCAGAGGCAGGCGGATCTCTGTGAATTCAAGGCCAATCTGGTCTACAAGAGCTAGTTCCAGGACAGGCTCCAAAGCTACAGAAAAACCCTTTCTCAAAAAACAAAACAAAAGAAGTCCTTATTGCTTGAGGGGACAAACAGGTTCTCAGACGGGTCCTGCGCTGGCCTCTGCCCCTATGCCTCCTGTTCTGGTACTAAAGGCTTGCGCCACCACACTCAGCAATTGACTCTGGCAGAGGACTTTAGTTTGGTCCTCAGCATCCACATGGTGGCTCACAACCATCTGCAACTCCAGTTCCAAGGGGCCCAACAGGCACCACATAGCACACATACCTATATGCAGGCAAAATATTCATACACATAAAATAAGAAAATATTTTCAGGACTAGAGAGATAACTTTGCTGTTAAAAATGTATATTCTACCTACAAACACCTAAAAATATAAAATGGAAAAAAGAAAGCATATTCAACAAATGGTGCTGGCATAACTGGATACAACATGTAGAATGCAAATAAATCCATATCTATTGCCATGCACAAAACTCAAGTCCAGATGGATCAAAGACCTCAACATAAAACCAACCACACTGAACCTCACAGAAGAGAAAGTGGGAAGTGCATTTGAACGCATTGGCACAGGAGACCACTTCCTAAATATAACCCCAGTAGCACAGAGAATGAGAGCAACAATTAATAAATGGGACCTCCTGAAACTAAGAAGCTTCTATAAAGCAAAAGACAAGGTCAATAAGACAAAATGGCAGCCCACAGAATGGGAAAAGATCTTTACCAATCCCACATCAGACAGAGGGCTGATCGCCAAAATATACAAAGAACTCAAGAAATTGGTCAACAAAAGAACAAATAGTCTAATAAAGAAAAATAGGGTACAGACCTAAACAGAGAATTCTCAACAGACAAATATCAAATGGCTGGAAGACACTTAAGGAAATGCTCAACATCCTTAGCCATCAGAGAAATGCAAATCAAAACAACTCTGAGATTCCATCTTACACCTGTCAGAATGGCCAAGACCAAAAACACTGATGACAGCTTGTGCTGAGGAGAATGAGGGGTAAAAGGAACACTCCTCCATTGCTTGTGGGAGTGCACGCTGGTACAGCTGCTTTGGAAATCAGTATGGCAATTTCTCAGGAAGTTAGGAAACAACCTACCTCAAGACCCAGCAATACCACTTTTAGGTATATACCCAAAGGATGCTCAAAATCATACCACAAGCACATGTGCTCAACCGTGTTCATAGCAGCACTATTTGCAATAGCCAGAACCTGGAAACAACCTAGATGCCCCTCAGCTGAAGAACAGATAAAGGAAATGTGGTACATTTACACAATGGAGTATTACTCAGTGGTAAAAAATAATGACATCTTGAAATGTGTAGGCAAATGGATGGATCTAGAAAAAAAAAACATATCGAGTGAGGTAACCCAGGCCCAGAAAGACAAATATAATATATACTCATTCATAAGTGACTTTTAGACATAAAGTAAAGAAAAACCAGCCTACAATTCACAACCCCAAGAACCTAGACAACAAAGAGGACCTTAAGAGAGACATACATGGATCTACATAGGAAGGAGAAAAAAACAAGATCTCCTGAGTAAATTGACAGCATGGAGGTTATGGGAGAGGGTAAAAGGTGAGAGGGGAGGAAGGGAGGGAAATGGGCAAAAATGTATAGCTCAATAAACACAATTTTTAAAAAAGAATGTATAGCATCCTTACAGAGGAGCAGAGTTTGATTCCCAGCACTGACACTGGGTGGTTTACAACTGCCAGGAACTCTAGCTTCAGGAGGCTCCAGCGCCCCTTCTGGCACCCACAGGCATCAGCATTCATGCTCACATAGTGTACACATCACACACACACTTAAAAGTGAAACCTTTTTACAGATTTATCTTGAGCATGGGAGTGTTTTGCTGGCACGTAAGTATGCACACCACATGCCTGCCTAGAACCTAGCATGTACAGCACACGCATGCCTAGAACCTAGCATGTACAGCACATGCATGCCTAGAACCTGACAAAGTCAGAAGGCGGCATTGGCTATCCTGAAGCTGGACTTCCAGGTGGTTGTAATCTACCGTGTGGGTGCTGGGAACCAAACCCAGGTCCTCTGCAAGAGCAATGAGTGCTCTTAACTACTAAGCCATCTGTCCAGCCCCAAAAATTCAAAGAAAGAATAATGTTGTGTTTTCCTATCCTAGTATGACGGCCCGTGCCTAATACCCCAGCACTCAGGAGGCTGGAGCAAGAGGAGATGAATGTGCAAGGCTGGTCTGGGCTTCAGAGTAGTGAGCTTGAAGGTAGGGAGCCTGGTTATAGAGGGAGCCTCAGCCTCCAAATAACATCTTATTTTAATATTGTTTTTGAGACAGGGTTTCTCTGTGTAGCCCTAGCTGTCCTGGAGCTCACTCTGTAGACCAGATTTGTTCCCTACCTCAGAGATCTGCCTACATTTGCCTTCCGTGTGCTGGGAGTACAGGTGCACATCACCGCTGCCCGGCCTTACTTTAATTTAAAAATTTTTACTTTTATTATGGGTGGAGTGAAGGCGCATACTTGTGTCAAAGTGTGTGTGGGCGGGGGGGACAGAGTACAACTTTTGGGAGTTGGTTCTCTCCTTCTGGAACTCAGATTGTCAGGCTTTTGCAAAAAACACCTTTATCTGCTGAGTCAATTTGCTGTCCTCCAAATAAACAGAGTGAGTGTGTGTGTGTGTGTGTGTGTGTGTGCACGTGTGTGTATGTGCACGTGTGTGTGTGTGCATGGTCTCAAATGGTTGTTGAATCTCTAGTCGTTCTCAACCTTCTTAATACTGCGACCCTTTAATACAGTTCCTCGTGTTGTGGTGACTCCCAACCATACAATTATTTTTGTTGCTACTTCATAACTATAATTTTGCTACTGTTATGAATCACAATGTAAATATTTTTGGAGATGGAGGCTTGACAAAGGCGTCTCGACCCACAGAGAACCACCGCTTGCTTTAGCCTGAACCCACAAAAGGAGCCCTGAAGCCAACCTCATTCTCATACCCTCTTGTCACTAATTGCTGGGTGTCCTTGGGCAAGGACCTTGCCTTGTCTGGACAGAGCTCTCCCTGCTTGAAGATCTGATTTGCAGATGAGCCCTGCCGGTGGAAGTGTCTAGGTATGCTGGGTGTGAGGGTGCAGCGCACGTATGAGAAATCTTATCATCTTCCACTCACCCCCATCCCAGAGCTGGGCCCAACTTGGGCCCCATGAAACCACTGAACTGCCCAAGTTGGAAGGCAGAGGCGGGTTGCCATGGAGATAGGCTTTGTTTCCCCCAACTGTCTGACAGTATCTGAGACACACACAAAGCTCATCCAGATGGATGATGACCTACCCTGGGAGAGCAGGCGTTTCCTGACCTGAGGTGCACAAGGCTCACCACTCTCCAAACACAGGGGTCAGCACTTCTGTGACACAGGGCTG